CCGCCGTAGCCGCTCCAAGCCCAGCACGCCGGCTGTGCGCGCGGGCGCCTCCGCCCCCCAGCCCCGCCGCCTCCCACCCCACCCCTCAGCGGCCCCCTCCCCCATCCCACGCAGCTTTCGGTCAATCACTTCCCATCCCCATATCCCCTCTTCAAGTAACCCTCCTGCACTTCCCGCCTGGCCGACTCTAAACCCCTCAGTTGGATTACGAGGTTCACCCCCAGCATCGCCGAGACCAGAAGGAGCGACTGCCGGAGCCAACCGTCGCGGGCACGGTGCGGCGCGCGCGTGCGTGCGTTGACGAGCGCCGGCCCTCAGCGACGCTGGCCCCACCGGAGAGCACGCCACTGGGATGGCGCCACATAGACGACATTTGCTGTCCCGCGAGGGCACGGGAAACTGCTTGCCCTCTCAAGCATGCATGAATGCGAGGATCAAGACCAGTTGCGGGCGCATACACGCACGCACGCATTCGCACACTCATCCATGCACCGACGTACACAGACGCACGCACGCAAGCAAGCCTTCAGACACATATGCACACGTTCACATACACACGCACCCCCACACGACCGCATGTCATTCACCATCCATTTGCAGCCCGGCAGCTTCCGCTCCAACTTCATCACGCCGGCTGTGATAGGCAGCCTGCCCAAAGGCCTTAGTCATACTGAGAAGGCGGGCATCGCAGCGAACTCCTGGACGCCCTCTCCTGCGGCACAGCGTCTGGCAGAGCAGCCAGAGGTGGGCAACGCGCATTGCGTTGCACCCCCACTGCAAGGCGCCGTGCAGGCTGGCGTGCCGCATGGGCGCTGTGCATGCTCGGTCGCGTGCTGCTGAGCGGCCACCCATCAATCTAGGGAAGGTGCAGGCTGGGGCGCTCGCGCTGACGCGTGTCGCCGCGGGTGTTGGATGCAATTGCAGGCACTGACGCCGGGGGCGGGGGCGGCCGCGGCCGCGCTGGAGGCGCTCAAGGGGTCTGTGGTGGCGTTCGTCACCGCTGGTTACAGCGGGAAGAGGTGGGCCGGCGTGAGGGCGCTGGCTGAAGCTTCTTGGCTCAGATAAAGAGCAGCAGGTCGTTAAAGAATTGTGACTCGTCCCACAACCGAAGACTGGCACAGCTTGATACGGCGGTGCGCCGGATGCTGCATCACTGCAGCTCAGCGCTCTCGAGGCCTGGCTGACACCAGGCACAGGCCCCCACGCATGCCACCTGGAATGCCGCTCTGCTTGGCAGGTTCGTGTTTGAGCGTGCCAAGCAGCTCGGCGTGCGCACCGTCCTCCTCGACGGCCCCGACAGGCGAGGCTCTTACGCAGGAGGCCATCCGCCTGCCCGTCTGCCGCTTTCGACCTCAACCTGGGTCGCCCCTGCTGCTGGTCAGCCGGCCGCACACCACTGCTTGTTGTGTAGCAGCCCCCAGAATTACGGCCCACCACGGACGAAAGATATCTGGATCTATAAACCGAACCTGTGCTGCCCCGTCCAAATCTGACCCCCTCCCGCCCCCGCCCTACCTGCCCTTCATCTCCTCTCAATCGACCATGACCCTCCTCAGCTGGTCGCGCACCCTCGTGGATGAGGGTCTGGCCGAGAAGTTCATACCTATTGACTTTGCAGAGGCGGACACCGTGCTCGACAGATGCCTCGAGGTGCGGTGGTGAACTGGGGGCGTGTATCTGGTTGATGCGCCTTGCCGTCACATCAACTGCGGTCGAGAGTCCCCCGTGTGCAGCTACATAGCCGCCACAAAGGAGTTAAGTTCTGTGCAGCGCCCGTGACTTGATGTTGCCCAGCGGCAGGACTGGCCCGCGCTGATCGCGCAGCCGGCTGTTGGCGACAGGCCCGCTCAAGCCTGGCAGCCGCCGGTCCCCTGGCTTGGCCCTGGGAAGTGTGCAGTCTTCCTTCACTGTCACCAAGCGGGTCTCACCGTTGCTCTAGAATCAACACCCCGCCCTTGCTGCCATGTCATGCATTATGCATGGTCCCGCCGCCCTTGTAACTCCCCCTCCCACAACACATGCAGGCGCTGACCGATGTCAGGGCGTCCATCGGGCTGGACGGGGTCACGACATACAACGAGTTTGCGGTGCAGCTCGTCGCGCGGCTGGCTGAGCGCCTGGGTCTGCCAGGTGCGTGCGTGCGTGCACGTGCGTTTGTGTGTATGTGTGCGCTGTGTGTGTGTATGCATGTGCATCTGGGAGCGCGCGGCGTCCACTCTATGGCCCCGCGTAGTGCTGGCGCTGACGGGTCTTGTGTCGTCGACGGCTGTGATGCATGGGGCCTGCTGCATGCTCCACCACGTCTGTGCGTGGCGCCTCAGTTGCTGTGATTCCCTGCTGAGGCGCATCAGCAAATGGGTGGAATTCTCCATGTCTGGTTTTGCTGGGTCTCCGCAGACCCTGCTACTACCTCGCCCACTCAGACCACTCATTAAAGCACACCAACCTGGGCTCGTTTCCCCTGGCCTTTGCAGGCAATTCGCCGGCTGCCGTGGACCACGCACGCGACAAGGGGGCCACGCGCCGCATCATGTCGGCCGCCAACCTGCCGTCGCCGAAGCACACGCTCATCAACAGTGCGCCCCCGCCGTGCCTAGCGCCCAACCCCACACCTCGCCTGCAACACATTCTCGCGCGCTGCACAGCTGAGCACACCACCCTCCCTTTGCCAGTGGCGAATGCGCCATCGGGGTTTGGTAATCCAGTAGGTATTGCATGCTGTGGGTCATACGTGATTGGCCAGCAGCTGCCCCCCCTCCCCCACAAATTCGGTACCATGATCAGCGGCATCCCGACTGACCTTTTCCTGTGCTCAGGTCCCGAGGAGGTGGATGCCGCAGCGGCGCACGTTGGCTTCCCAGCAGGTGCGGTGTTGATGCGTGCTGCTGGCTGCTCAGCTGTCCTGCTCAGCGCGTCCGTCCTGGGGTGGCAAGACCGCCTTCCTCGCTCTGGTCGCGTTCGGCTTCCCTTTGATTGCCTGCAATCATCAAAGCAGCGTGCTTCACTCACACACGCACGTAAGCCTCTCAAGCCCCCACCTCCAAAAACCCCACTGCACCCTGTACCTCGTGACCTGACTGCATCTCCAGTGATCAAGCCGATTGCGGCGGCCGCGTCCATGGGGGTTGTGCGGGTGAACGATCTGGACGAGCTGAGGTCCAAGGTTGCCGCCACGCAGAGCCAGCTGTCGCGCCTGTACCTGGATGACGAGGTGGGGCGGGTGGGTGCAGTTTGGGGATCAAGGGGTACCCAGGCCCCGTCAGTTTGCAAAGCTTGCAAAGAGTCAGTGCCAGTCGAGCTGTCCGTTGACTGCATGTCAACCAGAAACATCACGCAAAAGGTATTTGACACGTACGTAATACAGGTATGTGCGCATGCACGCACTCCCACACACCCACCAACACACACCCCCCACACACACACACTTTTACACACACGCTCTCATACTGCTGGTCGCAGGGCCACATCCAGACAGCAGAGGAGGGGGTGGTGGTGAGTGCGGCCGACAGGGCCAAGCTGGCGCAGCTGGTGTCGCAGACTCTCATGATGGAGGAGGTGAGGGGGTTCGAGCGCGCGTGGGCTTCGTCAACTTGCTTTGAGTGAGAGTGATTCGATCGTCCATCAACAATACGGTGTGAGTCCACACCGTGTTGTCTAGTTGACACACACACACACACACACACACACACACACACACACACACACACACAAAACGCCCAGCACAAGGGCGTTGTGTTTGGTAGTGACAGCTGGTGGGGTCGGAGGAGGGCAGCCGGAGACCAAGTGAGGGAAGCAGCGCCCAGCCGCGCGGGACTCGTGAGTGTTACGCACGCATGCACAACAAACCCACGATGACTCGTCCTTTGTGTCTCAGCAAGCATCGCCATGCACCCCCTTGCCATTTTTACAACACGCAAATGCAGTACCTTGATGGGGGCGAGGTCGACGTGGACCTGGTGATGAGCGGGGGAGAGTGCACCTACGGAGCCATAACCGGTGAGCGATCACACCCAGATCATTGCAGATCACCTCAGATCGCCCCAGCTGCCCATAGCCTCTGTCGGTTCATGACATCACTTGCGCTTGGGCGCCCAATGTGAACAGATGCGGCCCACTCAGGCATTTCAACAAGCGTTTTTTGCGAGGTTTGCATTGTTTGAGGAGCGGCACCCAGCAGCCACCCACCCAGGCCAACTGGTACGCTCGCCAAAAGCCTTTGCCAGCGCTCTGTGGCCCCGAGTTGTCGTGCCAACTGGCAAAGCTTGACCACCCCTTGCATATCAGTTCGAACAAACGTCGGCAATCAAAGGGCGCAAGGCCTGCCTCACAGAGACCCAACAGCACCCCATCTCCTATCCCGCCGTACCTGCGTGTAGTTTCTTTAACCGAATGCATTTTCTGACTGGATGCACCTATCGCAGACAACTGGCCCACCATCGAGCCGTACTTTAACGAGACCGGCTCAAACTGCCCGTCGGTGCTGCCGCTGGCGGACCAGCGCGCCCTTATCGACCTGGCGGTGGCGACGGTGCAGGTGCGGGCCTCTTTTATTGCGCACGTGCATGCAGGAGTGACTTTGAAACAGATATCATGCTTGTGCCACCAGCAGCTGACCGTTCCAGCCCCCAGCACGGGTCCTCATTTGTCGAGGGGGGACGGTTGTTTAATGACCGCCCGCATGACATTCGCGCATGACTCATCCCTCGGAACGCGCTTTATTCGGGGCCGTTGTTGCCCAGGTCATGGGTGTGCATATGGGGCATGTTTGGCAGAGGGGCTGGGCAGGGTGGCTAGCAAACTGACCAAACGAAGGTACCTGGCTGTTTTGCAAGCAACAAGCAGGCAGAATTCACACCACAACTCACAAAAAACCACGTGATAGGCACTACTCCTTGCCCCTCTCCCCCCCCCCCTGCGCCAAACCCAGGTCCTGGGGTTCAAGCTGGGCGTGTTCCATGTGGAACTCAAGGCCACCAGCAGGGGGCCGCGGCTCATCGAGGTCAACGCACGCATGGGGGGAGGGGGCGTCAGGTGGGCGCGCGATGCTTGTGACCGCCGGTGGGGGCAGGCGCGGTGCTGCGACGTCTGTTGCGCGGTAGTCGGAGTTTCATGTGCAGCGCAGACGCTGTGTTGCAAAAAAAAACCCGACCCGGGACGCCGAGCGTTGCTGTGCAGTGCTCTTGAGTCTGCGCGTTTTGAATCCCAGGGCTGGCCGGGCGTTCCCGAGTGCAGGGCATATGTTTCTGGGTTGCCTCCCCATTGGGAGGTCATGAACTGGTCACCCCTCATGATCTACGCCCGCACATCTAAATGTGCGCCTGTGCTGTGCGCAGGCCCGCTCACGTGCGTTAGCATTCATGCAAGGGCAATGCTTATGCTCTGCCAGAATGGGTTTGTACCCCTACTCTGCACAGAGTGCGCATGTACCGCACTGACTGGTCTGCTGAACCCTGAACACGAATCCGTCGCAGGGACATCAACCTGGCCGTCTGGGGCGTTGACCTGGTTGACCAGCACCTGCTGGCCAGCGCGGGCCTGCCGGCGCGGCCGCTCATCGCGCAACGCCCGCTGCTGCGGCTGGCGGAGTACTCTGTTAACGCGCCAGCCACAGGTTTGCGTGGGTTTGGGATGCTGGCGGCTCTGGGCCGCGCTTCTTGCAAGTTGTGGGGGAGAAGAAGTGTCGTGCGGCTGGTAACGCCACTTTGTTTGTGCCTGACCGCATGGTATTCGAGAAGCACAAGATGCTTGTGCTTTTTCCGGACTTTTGTAGGGGTTGCATGGGGTGGCAATCGACTCAGTCGGTTGCCGCTTACGTGGCGCGTGTTGTCCATCCACTCCCTGGCCTTACCCGCAAATGCCATCACGCCGCCCCACTTGCTGCTTGCTCCCTGCCCTTATACATGGTCCCTCCACTCCAACCCCCTGAAACCAACCCCCAAAACCTTAGGCGTGATAGAGTCAACAGACTTCCTGGAGCCCTGGGCTGGGCTGCCCGGGATGATCTACGCGCGCCCCCTTGTGGCGCCGGGCGACAAGGTGCGTCGCGCGCACACGTGTTGCAGGGGCCATGCCAGAATCGTTGCAGCTACCTGCGGCGTGAGTGCAGGACATGCCTGAGAGGCTGAATCCAGACCCTTTCCTGGTCGCTGCCGCTGACCGCAGGCGGGTTGGGTAGTTGGGTCTGACGTCACAGTCTGCCCCTTCAAAAAGGAAATCCAGATCGTGTCCTCCATGCCTGCAAGTATCAGTCACCATGTGCGCACCTGCACCTCTTTGCCGCATCAAACGTACGGTAATGCTGCCTTGAAACGCCACAAACTCGTCAACATGCAATGCCACACCTCGTCGTTTTCTCCCCCTCTGCCCTCTCAAAACGCACAGGTCATCAGCATCGCCGACGGCATGCCGACCTGGGTGTATGAGGTGTGCGCCGCCAAGCCGACGGTCAGGGAGGCCATCGCGTTCGTCAAAGACATCGAAGCCAAGGCCGTCCTGCCCATCCGGCCGCTGCCCGCGGCCGTGTGATGGGGGGTGTCGGCGCGTCGACCGGCAGCGCTGGCGTGCACGCCGCCGCCGAGGCAAAGCTCAGCGTCTGTGTGCGCAGCTATTACTGCTTGCCCGGAGGACTGTGGTCGGCAGGCAGTGGTCGCTTTGTGCGCATGTGCAAGGCTATTCACGTTGGTGATTAAATGATTTGTCGCTCGACTTTGACCGCTTGCGTGCCACGTACTCAACAAAGTGACAGTATTCGTTCATCTCCGGCACCAGCCGACACTGTGCATTCTTGTGATTACTCAACACCGCGTGTGGTGCCTGTCCGTATGGGCTGAGTCAGTGTGTGGCGCACACATCTGTGCAGGCGTCTTTCAGCTGGGCACTGAAGTCACACAAAGATTGACGTACTTCAAGGATCCAATTGGGCGGGTCCCGCCATTGGATGATTGTGAGCGGCGTGACACAGCTCATGCCTTCTGTTGACATCCATTTGACAAGATCAAGCGAGCGAGAATGCCAGCATGCGACGTCCTCACGCATGCGTATAATCTGTTCTGCTGTGACCACTGATTTGTCAGTCCTTAGCTATGCCAGCTATTTGGGGTGCCTCGGCTGGTTCGAAGGTTCCCCTGTCTGGACGCAAACGGCAGCGTTGCATTCACTGCGCAGCCAACATACAGAATGTAAAAGGCGCTCGATCCAAGACAATGCAGCTGAACTTTAACTTCCTGAAAGGGAGCTGAAAGGAGCTGAGTCCAGGTGGTAAACGGGGCAAGAGCCATGGGCTTTGCTGTGAGCGGTTACCTTGCGCATCTGCAGGGCCAGCTGGCAATCACTGCACGGCTCCGCACCTGTCCCTGGTGCCCCAAGCCGTGCAGCGCCCGCCGCATTGTTGCGCGGCTGCGCACGGCGCCCAGGTGTGTCTTGGTAGCAGCACTCATGCGCGTGCTTAAGCGCGTGCGTGCGTGCGTGCGCGCTCGAGCCCAATGTCTTCAAAAAGGGCCAGGGCAACCATGTAAGCGGGCATACATGCATTGTGCATGCTGGTGAGGTGACTATTTTGAGGCTAGTGCTCTGCAAGGTCTGAGCGCTAGCAGCTGCCGCACAGCATGGACTGCGGTAGTCATCATGCTGGTAGACCCCCACCCTTCCACATGGCGCCTGTTGCCGCCGACACACATTACCGTATTGGGTTAACAGGGGACGAGAAACGTATCATACAAATCGCACGTGCACGTTACGCATGTTCACAACAGCCAGCAAACTGTGAACTGAAGCTGTTTGGCGGTCCCGGGGGAGCCATGCGGCTCAACCCGGACGCCCTCGAGTATGTACCTTCGGGTCGCGCACTGGTGGAGCCTGTCCGCGAAGCTTGCGGCGGCGGACATGAGGATAGTCAAGCACAAGCACCCAGCGTCCTGCATGATGCACCAAAGGAGGCAAGTAGTTAGCTGTATCGATGTGAATGGGTAGATTTCGATTTGAAGAGCGCGATGGCTGCAGTGCACCGTTCTTGCAGCTGGGTCGCTGCTGCAAATGTCGCAATTGCGCTGCGCAGCACTTCTGCTGCGCCATCGGATACGCGCCTTGACGCAGCCTTGCACATCGCGCCGGCGCCACCCTGACCATATGCACGATACCTTCAGGTTCTCGCTGCGATCCTGGCGCACGTACATGCGGCGGAGGACCTTTGCAACTGCCTCGCGACCTGCCGCGCGCTGCGCGCCGCGGTCGCCGACGCGCCCGTGACCGTCCGAGTTTCTGCGGCGCAGCGGCAGGCGCTCGCAAACCCGGCGCACCACGCCAAGCTGCAGCTGCTGGAGGAGTGGGCGGGCGCCTGCTGTCCCAGTGAGCACGAGCTGTGCTGCCTGGCACTGCAGCGCAGTGCGGGACTGCCTGCAGCAGCAGCCTGGCATCAGATGACGCCCGAGAGCGAGCAACACCCGCGCATGCGCATGGCCCACCAACTCCGCTCCCCCGCCACGGCCCTTGACTGCAGGCGCCGTGTCCCTGGATGTCTCCGGCCTCCCCTTGGAAGATTTCCAGCTGTGCCGCCTGCTGCGGCGGCTGGGGCGCTTGGAGGTAATCAACCTGGAGGGCTGCAAAAAGCTGACGCCCCTCGCGACGCGCCTGATGCTCGGCCTGGCGCGCTGCAGTGGCGCCGACGGCAGGGATGTCAGTGGCAGTGGGAATGGTCCGGCGGTGCGGCTGCGGTTCGTCAACGCCCAGAGGTGTTTCCAGCTGACCGCGGCGTCCCTCGACGACCTGCTGAGCATGGCGCAGCTTCCCGGCAGCTGCCTGGAGGGCGTCGCCGCGAGCCACCTCAACCTTGAAGGCGGCACCTGCGAGGGCTGTGGCTACTTGGTCGGCGCGAGCTGCGGCGGCGGCTGCGGTGCCGCGGCTCGGTCCCGGCCGCCGCCTCTCCCTTGCCCGCCGCCGCGGCCGTCGCTGTGTTCGCTGCGCGCGGTCGTGCTCACCAACAGCACGCTCACAGTCACGGCGCTGCTGGCGCTCGCGGATGCGTGCCCCGACTTGGAGCACCTTTTCCTGGGCGGCAGCACGCTGAAAGCCGCCTCTGTTCCGCCAGCCGAAGTGGCGCCCGCTGCAGCGGCGGGCGACTGGGCCCCGGACGGCGCGCCGCAGGCGAATGGGGCGGGTGAGGCGGCGGCAGCGGAGGTGGCACCTGGCGGCGGCGGAGGTGCGGCGGAGGCGGGCGCTTTTGCAGGCGGCAGCCAGCTTTCTGCGGAGTCGCGTCTCTGGCAGTTTGAGAGGCGGCTGGGACTGCCCCTGGAGCTCCCGCCCCTCACGTGCGCGTTGGACACGCCACCTGTTGGCAGCGGCGGCGGCGAGGGCCGCGAAGGCGTCGGCGGGGTCCTGGCCGCCGCCGCAGCCGCGGCCGCTGCCGCGGCCGGCACCGCAC